AGATTAATGGTGTTGTTCTCTTATTCAAATTATTAATGATATAACTAAACAAATTAATAAATATTTAGGTGAAGTTGTGCACTTGCATTTTTCATCGCATCATCCTATGCAGTGTGATAAATTATTATTGTCTATAGGCTGTTTTAGTCATTCATAGCATGGGTTATCTTAATATATTGATTAATGACATTGTGTTATAATATTAAACCACCCAAATATTTAGGCTACTACCTTCTAATTTCCATTGTCAGTGCAGACTTTTTTATTTAGCTTAGGCTACTGACCATTATGGATTAGTGTAGCCTGCATTAAAAAGTCTTGAACATAAAACAACAGGATAAAAATATAGTTGATGACTAGACAATCATTTCATGACTAGACACATATTTGTGAAGACAATAGCATAATACAGTGAAATAATATGTTCTTTAGCCATATAAATACAGTTGCCATGTGTGTGGGTAAAATTTACCAGCTGGCGCTTTTAGATATACAGTGACATCTAGCGATTGTAGTGTTAAACCGTACACTCAAAGAGGTCACTGACCAGTCCAAGTTCCTCTGTTCCTGAAGCTTTTTTGGGATTGAGGGAAACCCCAAGCTTTGAAGCAGACTAAAGTTTTAATTCTCGGCAGCTGGTCCTTTGGGCTGATCCAAGACCATATAACTCCCACTGACACATACTCATGCTGCTACACACACACACACACACACCAGCATTTTATACACACTTGGCTGTTGGTTCAAACAAATGCTTGCAACTTCAAACAGTACTTGAGTTTCAGGTTTTAGATGTTCTGTGCATATGTGCCCATGTATCCACCGATATTAAAGGGATAGTTCACCCAAAAAAATTATCCCATGATTTACTCACCCACAAGCCATCCTAGGTGTATATGACTTTCTTCTTTCAGACAAATACTATCGGAGTTATATTAAAAAATTTCCTGGATCTTCCATGCATTAGTATGGCAGTGAATGGTGATTGAGATTAGTGGTCGACCTATATCGCCAAGGCCGATATTTGGCATTTTTCAAATATCGGCATCGGCCGATAAGTTTTTCTGTTTGCCCGATGCGTTAGTGGTGGGACTTTCACACAGTGCTCACATTCTCCCTCTTGTTCGCTGTCATCATTAACATTTCTGTCCACGGACAGAAGTCTGTCTAATAATCAGATAGAACTGTTAAATAAAGGAATTAAAATGTATACAAAAAAGTATTATAACGATTGCTTTTATATTGTTAGTAATATAAAGGCAAACATTATCATTTCAATTTCAATTTATTTATAAAGCACAACTACCGTTGACCAGTGTGCCGTACAAAGTGAGTAACCACAAACAAAATTAAAAAGAAGACCGAGTCACAAATAAAACTGCAAATAGGGGAGAGCAAATGCAAATCACGAATAATAAGCCAGATCAAATAAAAACGTTTTTAACCTGGATTTAAAAATGGATAGTGTAGGGGCAGTTCTGATTTCTGTAGGAAGATTATTCCAAAGTCTCGGAGCAGCTACGGCGAATGCTCGATCACCCCTAGACTTGAGTCTGATTCTAGGAACCACTAAGAGCCTTAAGTTGGCAGACCTTAGAGCTCTTGCAGGTTGGTGAACTATCAACAGGTCCTAGAGGTAAGAAGGTGCTAAACCATTTAAAGACTTAAAAACCAATAAGAGCACTTTTAAAATTAATCCTGTAGCGCACCGGTAACCAATGTAACGACTGCAGGACAGGGGTAATATGCTCCCGCTTTCGAGCTCCCGTCTGGACTCTGGCAGCCACATTTTCAACCATCTGAACCATTATAATACTTTCTTGTTTGCCGTCAGCATTCAGCAAATACACATTTATATAATTTAAACAAGTCTTTGAATGACTGATGAACAACATCTAATTTCAAAAACCTTAAAAACGTAGTCGGATCCAGCTGTGAGATCTTATGAAGTGTGCATTTGTATCCTGCATCGCGTGTTCTCTGCGTGATGGTCGGTCCGTGTGAATTGAATGCAGACAGAAGGAGAGTTCAGCTTCACTGGAGACGAGTGATTGACAAACTTTAAACTCGCGGTTTCAAATTATGCTGCGCTTCATGCTTTTGCCCAATGTCATATTCATGTCATTTTCACTGTGTGCTGTATGTAAAATTAGTGTTACCTTGGTTTTATTTGAAAAAATATGATTCCCAATGCACACAAACTTCCCAGAATATTGAGTGCCCTGTTGGTTACAGTGTTTACTTCCTTTTTTTAAATTACATTTTTATTAAATATTTGTTTATTTGTGAAAAATGCTTTGTCATTTAAAGTATAAGCATGTTTTTTTAATCCATTTTCAAATGATTTCAAATTTCTTAAATATTAAATAAAATAAATAAAGTTATATTGGCCATCGGCCACCCTGCTTTCCAAGATATCGGCATCGGCTGTCAAAAAAACATTATCGGTCGACCACTAGTAAGTGCAAAAAAAGTGCATCCATCCATCATAAAAAGTGCTCCACACGGCTCCGGTGGGTTAATAAAGGCCTTCTGAAGGGAAGTGATGTGCTTTTGTAAGAAAAATATCCCTATTTAAAACTTTATAAATCATAATCTCTAGCTTCCGTTAACTGTTGTATGTGCGTTCACAAGAGAAACCATAAAACAAGTTTGCATAATAATAATAATGGTAATTATTTCATCACATTATTGTTACTAATATCAACATAATGAATGATAATAATAATAATAATGTGAAAAATTTTAAATCTAATGATTTAGGCATTGTCAAAAAGCAGAGATAAAATAAATAAACGTCAGTTCTTATTGGTTTTTAGACGTCTAAAAAAAATCAAAAACAAGTTTGCAACAATAACAACAATTGTATTTTCACTTTAATTATTATTAATATTAAAAACAGTTATACATAAATAATAATAATAATTAATACTAGGGCTGGGTTTTGACTGGGGATGTAATGATTAACCGCGAGCCGGTTGAAAATCAATTCAAATATGTGACTATTCAAATCGGTTGAGATGCTAAACAAATCGCGATTCATTTAGGGGTAGGAGTTTATATGAATGCATGGCTGAAGGGAACTTACTGTCTTAAGTTGTACTCTTTCTTTTAACTTGCCTTCGGATGTTTATTCATGTTTATTTTGTGCTGAAACTGGTATTAATGTGGAGGAGATGATCAGCTGCCGCGTCTGTTAAACTGAGGCGCTACAGCGATCAGTCACTCCACATTAAACAGTGCCAAAACGGCATTAATTGTTTGAATACTGCAATACAATGGACATAATTTGAAATCTGAGACTTTTTCATATTAAAAGTACCAAAGCACAATGCTTATAACAAGTTTGCAACAATAACAACAATTGTATTTTCACTTTAATTATTATTAATATTAAAAACAGTTATACATAAATAATAATAATAATTAATACTAGGGCTGGGTTTTGACTGGGGATGTAATGATTAACCGCGAGCCGGTTGAAAATCAATTCAAATATGTGACTATTCAAATCGGTTGAGATGCTAAACAAATCGCGATTCATTTAGGGGTAGGAGTTTATATGAATGCATGGCTGAGGGGAACTTACTGTCTTAAGTTGTACTCTTTCTTTTAACTTGCCTTCGGATGTTTATTCATGTTTATTTTGTGCTGAAACTGGTATTAATGTGGAGGAGATGATCAGCTGCCGCATCTGTTAAACTGAGGCGCTACAGCGATCAGTCACTCCACATTAAACAGTGCCAAAACGGCATTAATTGTTTGAATACTGCAATACAATGGACATAATTTGAAATCTGAGACTTTTTCATATTAAAAGTACCAAAGCACAATGCTTATTGCGATTTTTTTATATTGGATGGAAAGTGCCCTTCAATGTTACGTATAATGTAATGGACTAATCGATTCTTGGGATTTAAGAATCGATATCGTTCCGTAAAAATGAGAATCGATTAGTATCGAGATATCAGTATTTTTTTACCCAGCCCTAATTAATACATATTACTAGTCATTATCGTTTTAATTATATTAGTAGTAATAATAATAATAATAATAATTATTATTATTATAATACTGTAATTATTTTATCACATTATTATATTATTACTAATGATCATTATCATCATAATTATCATGTATAATGATCATGTAAATAAAAGCAAAGATTAATGAATATTATGTAATCATAATTAATAATTATTCATTATTGTCAAAAAGCAGAAATTTGTAAAAATTTATTTGTTCTAAATATTGGTTATTAGACCTAAAAAAGTCCTCACTCTGGTTAAGGTAGTAAACACACAATTTAACATCTTTAGCAGATGTTACACAAGAATATCAAAAGCCTGTTAAAGCTTGTTAAGCCATTGGTAAATAAATGAAGCTCCTGTAATTGGGCTTTAAGAGTGTTTTTTTGTGTGTGTGTGTTATGCTTTCAGTGCAGTTAAACCATCAGAAGATGATGCAGAGATGGGTATGAGGTGTGTACTGTGTGTGTGAGGATATGAGTGTGTGTGTGTGTCATAGCTGACTCACTGTTGAGTAGCGGTCACATGGCTGGCCGTCAGAGGTCTAGCGGAGGAAACCTAATCCAGCGGAGGAAGCAATTCACCCGTCAGTGCTGGAGTTTGAGTGTGAGGGAAACACTGCAGATATATAGTGCTTTTATAAGCTCTCACTCAGCTGTCTGTCTGTCTCTCTCTCTCTCTCTCTCTCTCTCTCTCTCTCTCTCTCTCTCTCTCTCTCTCTCTCTCGCTCGTGTTCTGCACACAGGGTGTTTGCTATTTACTCCT